GAAGGGGTCTGTGCTCTGAAGTCCTGTCTTGTGTTGGTCTGAGGCTTTTCTTTCTGCCCTTCTGCGCAAAGGCACTAACACTGACATGCTGTGTCTCTGGAACCTGTCATCTTTAGGGCTCACCGTTCTGAATTTGAGCTTCTCACTAAGTGCCTGATAGAGATGTTTTCCCTTCATTTCTTACAAGGTCATTCATTTTTTTTCAAGTCTTTGCAAAATATTTGTGTAGCCTTTTCTATTACTGTACAGTATGAAGTTTTGGGGGTCTCTGTATTCAGCAGTATTATCAGAAACCAGTCCTATAGTTTTCCAGTTTTTAATAATATTTCGACTCTGTATTACTAGTTGTGGTCAGTTCCCAAGACCACTTGTAAGACCCTATTTAACTTCAGGTCAGTAGGATCATTGGTTGTTAGGGGTGGTTGGATTGTGGTGCTCTCCATCCCTTTGCCGTGGATTAAACAGGATGGTACGGCCTGACCTGGCCATCCAGGCATCATGGGTAACATTCACTGAATGAAAGGTAGGATTAAATTTTAAACAATGAATTGAACTTTTAGAGTACAGTATACTTATGAACGGAGGGTTATCTGTCTATAAATGAAGGATTGGTACTAAAAGAGATTACTCAATGAATATGGTTTTGAGGTTCCCTGTGCCCACTTTGCATATGTGTCCCACTTTGCACATGTGTCTCTTGATAAGAGGTGGTGTTACGTGGCAGTATTGCTGAAGTTTCCCATTTTCAGGTAGCCTCACAGAGACAAATATTTTACATACTTCTGCTTACTATACCTGTCATCCAGATTGTGTTAGAGTTGGACATCTGAAGTGTAAGGGCATAAGGGCACCCCTAAATATGTTAAGGTCCTATGAACCAGGAGATATATTTAGGGTGACACAGTATGGAGGGGCAGCATGTCAACACCATTTCCTTTTACATTTCAGATTAATGCTGATGTCCCTGTACAACGTGAGCATCAATTTGAAAGGCTTGAAGTACATTAGTGAGAGTCCAGGATTCATCCCTTTGTTGTGGTGGCTTCTGAGCGGTAAGGCTGGGCTTTACCTGTGCGTCTCCTTATACACCTGTTCCCCTGTGGCAGGAGGAGGTCGTAAAGTATTAGAGATGAGGGTTGTTCATCCCAAGGTGTTCTCATGCCTTCCTAAAAAGAGATTTCAAATTATTGGAAACTCACTGGTCTGCTAAGTTATTTCTAGTTGTGTTTCTGAAGTATCGCTTTCAATTTAGTTATGATTCTGTGACACAAAGGAAAATTATCCAGTAAAACAGCGAATAAGTGGCTTTAACCTGTCCCTTTCACTGTGAACGATACAGCACTATGTATGCTGTCTGTGGCTCTGAGCATCAGGTATAGGGAGATCCCATCGTTAAGCAACGTGGGGAAAAAAGAGATCTGAGAGATTGCAGCTCTGAAGTTCCATCTGTCTATCTATCTATTCAGCTGATGTGTTTTTTTGTTTTCTTTGGAATAAAAAGCTGTCTTTACTGTTTCTCCGGCTTTTCTCCCTAACCACCAATTTAACCTCAAATTTTGTCCCGATCTGTTCATCATACTTTTTTTTTTAATAAATTTATTTGTTTATTTTTGGCTGCGTTGGGTCTTCATTGCTGCATGTGGGCTTTCTCTAGTTGTGGCGAGCAGGGGCTACTCTTTGTTGCGATGCACGGACTTCTCATTGTGGTGGCTTCTCTTGTTGCGGAGCACGGGCTCTAGGCGCACGGGCTCAGTAGTTGTGGCTTGCGGACTTCAGTAGTTGTGGCACGCAGGCTCAGTAGTTGTGGCTCACGGGTTCTAGAGCGTAGGCTCAGTAGTTGTGGCTCATGGGCTTAGTTGCTCTGCGACATGTGGGATCTTCCTGGACCAGGGATCGAACCCGTGTGCCCTGCATTGGCAGGCGGATTCTTAACCACTGTGCCATCAGGGAAATCCTGTTTATCATACTTTTTAATACCATGTCTTCAGTAGGAACATATTTCATTCAAGTGTGCAAAAAAATTACCTTTCCTTATTTTTTTGTAATTCAGATCAATCTCTGTTTTTGAGCTTCAGTTCCATTTGGTGGTAAATGCTTATTTTTTGTAACAGGTTTTTTGAGGTATAATTGACATGCAATAAACTGCACACACTTAAGGCAAACAACTGGTAAGTTTTGACGTAAGTTATACACCCGTAGAATCATCATCACAGTCAAGATAATGAGCACACCTGTCACTCTCGAGAGGTGCCTTGTGCTTCTTGGATCCCTCCTTCCCGTCCCTCTGTTTCCCTCTTTCCAGAAAATCGCTTGCCTCCTTTCTGTATTAGAGGTTAGTTTTCATTTTCTACAGGTTTATATAAATGGAACCATGCACTGTGTATTCTTTTTTGCCTCTCTTCTTTCACTCAGCATAATTATTTCGAGATCTAGACATACTGTGTGTATTAATAGTTGATTCCTTTTTATTACTGAATAGTATTTTGTTATGTGGAGAGACTGCAGTTGCTTTATGTATTCGGCTGTTGATGGACATTTGGGTTGTCTTCAGGGTTTGGCTCTTGTAAATAAAGCTGCTGTGAACATTCTTGTATGTTTTTGCCTGGACACCGGCTTTCATTTCTCTTGGGTCAGCACCTGGGAGTAGACTGTCTAGCTCGCGTAGTAGGTATTTTTGTGGCACTGCCAAGCTGTGCTGCAAAGTGGCGGCACTGCTTTGCACCCCCCAGCCCCCGCCCCAGCAGAGAGTTACCGCTTCTGTCGTGCATGTCCTCGTCAATGTTCGGCATGGTCCTTCTTCTTAAGTTTAGATGTTCCGGGAGTGGTGTGATAACCTCGCTCACTTTGGTCTTAATTTGCATTTGTCATGACTCATGATGTTGAGCATTTTTCCCTGTATTTATTTGCCCATCCATATATCTTCTATGATTAAATGTCTGTTCACACCTTTTTGCCCATTAAAAAAAATTGGGCTATTACTCAGCCATAAAAAGGAACAAAATTGGGTCATTTGTAGAGATGTGGATGAATCTAGAGACTGTCATACAGAGTGAAGTAAGTCAGAAGGAGAAAAACAAATATCGAATATTAACACATATGTGGAACCAGAAAAATGGTACAGATGAACTGGTTTGCAGGGCAGAAATAGAGACACAGGTGTAGAGAACAAACGTATGGACACCAAGCGGGGAAAGCGGCGGGGCGCAGCGGTGGTGGTGGCGGTGTGATGAATTGGGCGATTGGGATTGACATGTATACACTGACGTGTGTAAAATGGATGACTAATAAGAACCTGCTGTATAAAAAAAAAAAATTGGGTTGTTTCAATTGAGTATTGGGGTTCTTTGTATATTCTGCATACAAATCTTTTGTCAGATATGTAGTTTGCAAATAATTGCTCTCAGTTTGTTGCTTATCTTTTCATTCTCTTAAGAGCATCTTTAAAGAACAGAAGTTCTTAATTTTTTTGGTGAGGTTTAATTTATTGTTCTTTTTCTTCTACGAATCATGCTTTTGGTGTAGAAATTTTTGCCACACGGATTTTTAAAATGGGTTTTCTTCTATTAGTTTTATACTTTTGCATTTTACATTGAGGTCTGTGATCCGTTCTGAGTTAATACTAATAGATGTTGAGTGGTATGACTCAAAGTTGGTTTTTTTTGTTTTTGTTTTTTTGCATAAAGCCACCTAGTTGATCTCACATCACTTGTTTGGAAGACTCTCCTTTCTCCACAGAATTGCCCTTGGACCTTTGTTGAAAATCAGACGACATTATATGAGAGCGTGTAGTTTTTGGACTCTATTCATTTGTTCTGTGGATCCATTTTTGTAGCATTATGCCAACACCATACTTTATAATAAATCTTAAAGTCAGGTGTGTAAATCCTCCAACTTTGTTCTTATTTTTCAAAGTTGGTTTGACTCTTTCTAAGTCCTTTGCATTTCCATACGAATTCGAGGATCAGCTTGTCACTTTCTAACAACAACAAAAAATCCTGTTGGGATTTTTATTAGGATTGTGTTGAATCAACAGTTCATCTTGGGGAGAATTGACATTTTAGCAATACCGAGTCTTCCAGCCAATGAAATAGTATATGTATGTCCGTTTATTTAGATATTGTTGGGAGAGCAGAGGAACTGACCTCCTTTGTTTCTGGCTATCTTTTCAAGGTTGCTTATGTAGTAAATCCCCATGAAGGTAGAGATACTGTCTCTGTCCAGAACAAAGGGTGGGTTTGTTTACACTCATGCAATAGGGATAATGCTTCCCTCTGGGGAAAAGGTCTGGCAGGATTACTCCCCTTATGAACGATTTGGGTTCCCTGAGTTTGGGGTTTCTCTTCTGTAATGCAGCCCATGGCATATGCCTGGCCCTGTGGAATTGGGTCTCATTGAACTGTGCTGACCCTCTGGATATGGCCGTTGCCGTGGAGGAATACTGTTCTTTGCCTTGGACACAGGGGTGTTTTCTCTCCTGCCAGCATCCGTGAGACTCTCGCATGCTGGCTTATTAACTTGCAAGTAGGGTAAAACCCCAGATCTTCCAAAGCTCTAAGGAGGTGGCCGAGAGGGCTGTGTTTGTATTTTAGGAGGCCTCCTGCCCACGAGGGCTGGGTATTTGACCAGACAGCTTTTTTCTCTTGAGAACGTGAGCCAAGGAACCCATGGAATCAGAGGTGGCTCTTGGGCTAGAGGTGGGCAGCTATCCCGGCTGGTCGCTGTGGGCCACGTGCCAGCAGATGGTGTCAGTCGGCAGGGGCGGGGGTGGGGAGAAGGCGAGGATAATTTAATAAGGGTCCCTAACAGTCCTGGAGTGCCAGGCAATGTGTATTTACAGATTTACTTCTCTAAATACCCTTATAAGGCAAATATTACAATTTATGTTTTACATATGAGGAAACTGGAGCACGCAGGGGTGAAGTGACTTCCTCGAGGTCATACAGCTTCTGGATGGAAGTCCGGGCAGTTGGGTTCTAGGTCGCTTCTCCCAGCCACTCTGTGGACCTCCGCTCTGCAGGAAGTGCCTCTGAGATGGATGCTTAGTTCCCAGTGACCTCTCTCCTTTCCTTGTCTCCTGGTGTGGCGTGGCTCAGCCTTAGAGATAGATGTCCTGAAACCTTAGGCCCCTCTCTGCTAGCTTGCAGCCAGTGATCCTCCAGCACCTTTTGCCAGTTGTTTACTTTTGCATAAAAAGAGGGCCTTAGGCTGAATGTTCTCTAGGGCCTTTTCTAGCTCTGGTGCTCCAGAAACGTTCCAGGGCCGAGTGACCGTCCTTAGTTTCATTTTAATTTAGGCAGCTCTCTAGGTTGCCAGCAGCCCAAGAGTGTCGGTGCCTGACCCTCACCAGAGATGGCGCGCTGTGACCAGGGTGGATTGTTCCTGCTTGAACAGTGGGGGCTGGGGTGAAGTTGCCTTAATGCCACTTTTTGCCCTGGGGCCATCAGGCTTTCTTGCTCATGAAGACAGTTACTGGTTCTTTTGACAGTGTGCACAGCCCAAAGCCTAATAAATCTTTTGAAATGTCATCTTGATGTTATTTGCTATCACAGTCAAATAAAGACAAGGTCTATCAAGCCCAGCATGTTTGTCCCCTGATTTATCTATGGAATTAATTTAACTTAAAAATTGAAATTTGTTATAGAATTTGGTGTGTCTTTTAGGAAGGTGAATATATATTTTATTATAGAATAGGAAAATAGAAACAAAAGTAGTTCTCTGAAAAAAGTATGTGCATCTTGGTGCCTGGCGGTGGTGGTGTGATTGTTTTCATAATTCTAGACTGTTATAACTGCTTAGGACTAAGAGAATTTAAAAACTGGGGCTTCCCTGGCGGCGCAATGGTTGAGAGTCCGCCTGCCGATGCAGGGGACATGGGTTCGTGCCC